CAATTTCTTCAGATTTTTATAGAAACCAAAACGTTTTTATATTTGATGAAAGCATAGCACTTTTTTATTCCAAAAAATTTCGAAAGTAAAATTTATTTATTATTCGGAGGCCGATATAATGTTAATAGGTTAGGCAGTAAACAGATTCATTTTTTCATACGCTTACGTACGTACTGTTACAAAGGTCGTCAATTTGTTGTATATTTCTTGGAGTCGAACTAGGAAGTCAGACGTGTTATGTAAATAATTGTTTACAAAAGGATAATAGCGTAAATCATATACTAATATAATATTTTTTTAAATCGCGTTAAAAGGATGACGTGGATTACCTAGTCATCTTCAGACATGAAACCTCGGCTTTTCGTTCTTATTTATAGTAACAACTGTGTATTCGCGGATGGTGAACAAGCAATTTTTCCATTTACCTTAGAAATTTTATAAGTAAGGATGCAATGACTATCATATTTCCAACGATATAATCGTTTACGGCCAGATTCATAGAAAGTTTTACAAAAAATGTCAAATCATAATAAATCATGCTTTTTATACTGCAATAACTTACCATCCTCGTTGCTTGAGACGGTTGGAACACCCTGTTTTTAAACATATATAATTAGTCTTTTCAATTGAAAAGTTGTATAATTGCCTGTGCTTAAAACCGATAAATTAATCAATTAACGATATTTGATAATTATTAAGTGACAATAACTTTCTTAACAATTTTCTCTTACTAAGTATCATAACTTTAAAATTAATATGTATTTGATTATGATTTTATAATCTGTAATTTAGCGAAACTAAAATTTAATTTAACTAAAAATTTATCCAAAGATCAGAATGTAATAAAAATGAAAATTATTTTTGTTAATAAGAACTGATTATTTCTTGCTTGTGTAAAAGCTATACAACTACTTATTGTTATACTTTTGTAAATAATAATGTACATATCAGAATAATTCTTTAAAAATGATATCAAAGTAATGCACGAAGTAATGCAGTAGAGTGGAATAAGGAGATTCAGGAAGAAAGACCACACTCTGAAATAATTTCGAAATAAATATATTTCATCTCGCGCAGACTTGATAGAAAACAAATAAATTAATGGATACATTTGCTGTACAGCGTTATCTCGAGTACGTAATATGTTTACTGGATTTCTAGTTCGATGCTTAATACTGATTTACTGACTAGTGAATACAATATTTACAACATGCAACATGATAACAAAGTATAATAATAATCGAAACACGGATTCCTCAGAAGAATACTTTCTGAACGGAGAATACGAGTTTACAAGTATCTTTCTACATCGTAGGTTGCATTCAACGCATAAATAATGAGATGGATTTTAGAAGCTGGATAAGTGATCTCTAAGATTGATTTCGAATGAATTTGGTGACAAATACACTCTTTGGATGTATCTCCGTCGAGATGGAGTACTGCGCGTTACGAATACAGGAACAAAGTTTCTAACCGATATACACTCGATCAAAATTACAAACTAAATATGAAATTTAAATAGCGCAACTGGAGCTTTAATTGCTGTTCAATTATTACGCTCCGTCTAAAATTGAATAGAGTCGTCGCCAGGTCTTTCGATTGGACGTGTTTAGAATTCGTATCTGATACATGGTCCCGTTTAGGTTTGCGAATTTAGTACATACTGTATGCACAGGTTACGACAGAATCGTGCTTTAATTGCGGTCCAATTCCGGGCGAATTAGTGCTGCGCGCACCCCTTTCAAAATACACACACACACACACACAAGACGACCTTCAATTCCCTATCCTTATAATATACTATATTTGCCATAGCTCATCGTCTCCTTCTATCGCACATTGATTTCGAGCAACGCCGAGCAATCGACCAAAAAATAGACTAAGCTCATTTTCATAGTTCCGCCAACTATGCTAACGCTACCAGATACAAAAACGATGAATTTTCTCGAGATTCCGGACAACAGTGATTTAAATACAATTTCGACTGCATTCCTCCGAGATTCGAGTAGGGTCGTTTTCACAACCGCGCACACCATCGGCCGAATATCTACTCTGATTTATCAACGGTTCGATAATCCAAAAATATCGTCTTACAGAAGAAGTCAAGGCATCGAAGCCCGCCTTCACCCGAGATCGCTCATTCACGGTCATTCTTTGATCGCCTAACCGATTAAACGCCGATGATCGATTTTCTCCTCGGAAGCAATCTCCGTGGTTTTGTAGCTCTTTCGATTGACTACCCTTGCAATCGCCGTAGTTCCCGTCGCCGTCACCACGCTGGATCGGCAAGTGGGCCGGGTCTCCGCGCGTTACGGAGAACACCGACAACTCCGTTTTCCTCCATTGTCGTGTCAGAAAGCCGGAGGAAGAATAAGAAAGCCGTTCTTCCTTCCGTGGCTCACTTTCTGCCCCACTGAAGCACTCGGTGCCCATGGGAGCATCTGCTCAGAGATCCGTTGCTGCCTTTCGAGCTGTTGCTGCCAGCGCTGCAGACGCTTTCTGATCTCATGATGCTCTTCTTCGTCGGATCGAGGATCTTGTCCAACATTTGACGGATGGTGCTGTGCTTCCTGTTGAAAGGATTGGTGTACATCTTGACTTCTTTTCTCGTTCGCTTGCCAATCGAGCCGAAAATCAATTTCTGAGACTCCTTCGAAGTGTTCTTCGCGTTATTTGACAATCGTCTGAGACAGTTAAGATTGAAACTGTTCAGAAACTGTACCAGGTTGATCGATGACAGTATTCGCAGTTAACTTCCAAAAGAATAGAAGTTGCCGGATCGTTGAACGAATTGTTGACGATCGAGCGTTCTGACGTGCTGCCAAAGCGCAGTAAATTATTTTCTTCGATGATTGATCGAAGCTCCCTGATATTGCTCGGAAACACTGTTTCACTACTTCTACTTCTTCTTTCTTTTTCTTTCACTGAGAATATTCGCTTGAATAGCACTGTGCGAAAGTTTCGCAGAACTTGAACTGCTCGAGCCACTAGCAACGTGGGCTGAGTCCGTTGTAGAAATGATTTGAAGCGTTGGCCAGTGCGTTTATATAAGGTAGCCGTTCGGTGACCTTCGTTCGAGCTCGGATAACGTCGTCTGGCGACTCGATGCATGGAAATAATTGGTACCGCAGGTGCATCGGTGCAAGTGCACATGCTTGGCGAAAGTCAAGGGTGAAGGGTTCTCGTTCACGTATCGATACGTTCCCGAAATTTCCTGTTTTTAATAGCTCTCTGTTTTTATCGAAGCGCTTTTGTCGGGGTTAGAGGAAAAAAGCGCGCGTACTTGTCAGTATTGTACTCGGAGATAGGAGCCATTTAAGCAAATGTTCATTGAAATGATTATTTGAATAAGAAATGATTTGTTATTTGGAAATTTAGATAAGAGACACAAATAATTACTTATTGTTTGTACAGAACAAGATAAACTATTTAAAATAATAACATTTATTTCTTATTTATAAATACGATCTCCATTGTTACTTATTATAATTATCATTTGATTGCTTATTATCTATTATTTATTCAGCAGAACGCGTCGAGCAGACGTCCTAGTCAGGAAATAATGGTCCTCAATCGCTCTAAGCGATATCATTGAGTTCACAAAGAGAAATGCAAGTTCTTCAATAATAATGAATGGAAATCAATATTTATTATACGACGAATAAAAAACAAAAATTATTTATTATTTGCTTTCCACCTAAATTTGAACGCATATAACATATAACATTTTATTTGCGAAACCATGAAGTTCTTTCCATGAAGTTCAAATAAAAACAACATTTTATTTGCAAATCAGAAATAATAATTGAATTATTTGTAAAATCATTTGAATGATCGTTTAATTAAATGAAAAATTTAAATATTAATTGCAAACGAAATAGTAATTTATTTCGTAATTTTTTATTTATTGTTTCAAATAAAATTTGCCCAATTCTGAATGTA